AGTGTTAGATACCATCGGTGTTGCATTTTTTGAAAGTTCTCTCTAATCGTGTAACAATTTGTGAATTTCCAATTGATCTTCCATAAGTTTTCCCATTGGGCCATGGTTATTGAATGGCCAAATTCCTGGGACCACCTCACCATTGCCACTGTTACCTCCTCCTCCTTGACTGTCCAGCAATTCACTAGAGTTTCCAGGAGGGAGTTTTTTAATTTTAATTTTTTTAAAAGGATTTCTAAACCTCAGCATTTTTTTTATTTACCAATGCAAATAACTTACAAGAAATGAGAGCAGACAAACAGAGCATTTGTCCCACTGTTGGTTTAAAGAGAAGTTGCACTCATGGTCTCAGTTTGACCACTTGATCAGGTCAATGCCACGGCCAAAGGTTAGGAAGCAGAATGCTTGGCAAGGGGGCAGTGAGCAAGCAAGATCCAATCAGATTTAACAGATCTGCCTGCCCAGAGCATCTGTTTGCTGCATTTGGGGGATATTTGGAAAGAATGTTCGCTATTCTCACGTGGGTGTTCATCACCTTAATAACTCCAGGATCATGACAGATGAATCCTACTAGCACACTCAGTCAGGACCTAATCAGGACTCAGTCACAGGATCTGTCTTTGGTGCCAGGAATCTACCCTGGAATGTGCAAAGAAATGGCACAGATGTCCTTGAGCATGAAAAGGGATGTGAGCAGCCACGCATATACACACATATGGGCCTTTGAGAACAGAAAGGAGTAGCTTTTAAACAGCCTGAGAATCAGCACTTTCTTTTCTTTTCTCCCAAATTAATCACCAAGGCCACAAGGGGATGCACAGATTCCATGTTTGCTGCTTCTGCATATCAGTTATTTATTTATTTATTTATTCATTCATTCATTCATTCATTCATGCAAACTTCACTCATTTCCCATGCAAGCTGTACTGTGCATGGAATCACTAGAACCAGGGTTATGCTGTGGAAGTATGAGAACAGTGCAGTAAACTTGATGTAGCTAAACCTGCTCAGTACTTGATAGATTACATGACTGCCTTGAGTTCTGTGGAAGGAAGGTAGAATTAGGGATTGGGGTGGTGGGGTCAATTCACTTTGTTTTTAAAAAGTGATTCTACCTAGTTCACATATTCTGAAATAATACATAAACTGAAACGCAACTATTCTTAAAAATGGGCACTTCTCTGAATTCTGCAAAAGCACTTCTTCAGCAAAGTAATGTTTCCAAAAACGCATCTACTAAGTTAAATGTGCATAAGCATGCATATATTAGTGAAAATAGCACAAACAAATGCATTTTATTGAGAATATCAAAACTAGGGGGCAAAAGCTTTGTGAAAAATGTGCATGTTATGTTATGTTATTTTTTAAAAGAATTGTTCATCTATGCACACCGCAAAAAAGGCATACAAGTCAGACACTAAGAAATAAGAGTTTGATCTCTGCATGAGCTTGGGTACCAGGCTCAGTTTTCAGGTGCTTGTAGCCACTTTGTGCTGTCCCCCCCCCCTTTCAAACAAAGTTTCCAGTTCAGTTCCAACTTCCAAACAGGGTTCTAACATTTGGTGGAGAATGCAGTTATTGATCACACTACCTTGCATACTCTGGGAGCAGAAAAAATCTCTTTTCCCTCTCTTTAATTGCATCCCCATTAAGGAATTCAACACATAAAGGTTCCAATCCCCCAAACATTTGCTGGAGAATGAGAAATAGTAAGCAGAACCAGCTTTCTGCAAACAGAGGAACAGACATTGTGAGCAAGCACACTGGAGCTGAAGAGGGTAGACTGGGAGTCTGCAGGCATATTGTGGGAACTAAAGTGAGACTAGATCAGGAGTAGCCTGATCTAGTTGTTGTTGTTGTTGACAACAACTCCCATTTTCCCTGACCATCAAGCACACTGGCTCTAGCTGATGAGAATTGTAGACCAACAATATCTGGATGGCACCATGTTGGCTACCTATAGAAAAACACTGACAGGAATGAAGCTCCCAGTGTCAGAGTTTTTCCACTTCATTAATAGCTTCTCTGTCTTGGTGGTTCACAGTTTACAAAGCTACTCTATTGTGAATTTGCAAAGATAGACTTTATTAAGTATTCAGGTGAAATAAACCACTTAGTGTTACAGGAGGACACATTTACAACAACCCGGGTCAATCATCCACCCACAATCATCTGAAAGTTGCACATTTCTTGTGTACATCTGTAACATCACTCACACGTCATCTTGTCATCAAAATGTAAACTATGCAATGGTACACAGAGGTCAATTATATAGGTGCCCAGAACAGAGAAGCCTCATCAGTTCTTGATAATAGTGTTCATTTCATGCTAGCTAGATTACACAGTACACCCTCCCTTTATATAGCAAAATTTAAATATTTCAGATTTGATCCCAAATGAACCCTTTTCCTTCAAACACTTTATTCCAATTAGCAGAGGCTAGAGAATAGCAGCTATAGGGGAGGAGATGCTGTAGGCAGTACTCCCTTCTTTTTTCTCCCTTGTCTATTCACACCACTCCAGCTTCTAACATTTCACCAAGCCTACCCTATTTACACTCTTCTGCCCAACCATAATAATCTGTAGATGATTAATGATAACCCAGATGCGAACCCATATGTTCGTTGTTAAGGGAGTGAAATCATGGCCGTACAGAAAATGCACAATTATATTACTGCTTGATTTTAATTACTAATTTTAATTAATATGCTTTTATATGACTTAGTGCTACCATGTGTATAATCCAAAAGACTACAGCTGTCAGACAAGACAAGAATAGATTTTGTTTTTCAGCAACTGAGCACAGAGCTGCTCATCATGTGAGTAAAGGACGGAGGAGGAGTTTGTGTATCAGTTAGGAAATCTAGGATGAAAGTGACGACAGTGTTAGATATGCTGGTGGTGCTTCTGAACTGCTGTTCATTGGTGATGAGGGCAAAACATCTTCAGAGACTGGGTCCCTAGCAGAATCCTAGGCCAGGGATGAAGAGCAGCTGCAGTATGTAAGAGACTTTATCCATAGTTGTTGCATAAGTGGAAACAGGATAGGCCCAGATGAAAACTAGCCACTTTCCACTAGTGAAACAGTGTAGTGGGAATCACAGATGTCCAAGATATTGGTTGATTGGTTTTGGTAATCTGGTGGGAAAAGATACATGCTGGTTAGTTACCAACAACACCTAAAGTCAGAGCCAATAGGCATGCAGCAAGTCCAATAAAGCTAGAAGGCAAAGGGTTCATGAGCTGATTTCATGAATACTCCAAAAAGCAGCATTCTCAGGCATAAGGAGCCCTGGGGCATGTCGTTTCCAGAGTACCCAGTGTGTGCATTAAGTATTCGGGCAACATAGGAAACTGCATTTCACAGAATTATTGGTGCCTGGGGTGTTGCTACTTTAGCCTTGAAGGAGCCAAGGAGAAAAGGTCTTACAGAAAGGTTTCCAGAACTGTCACTTGGTAACCAGAAAAAGAAGAGGGTGCAAGTCAGTGTGTCTTGATGCCATGGGGAGGCTGGATGTAGAGGAGTGGTAGGAGGCACTAGCTGGGGAACCCCCAAGGGAAGAAGGTTTGGAGCCAGGGGAGTGGTGGTGGGATGACGATGAGTGGTCAGAGGGAGAAAAGGGAGAAGAATGGGAGGAGGAGATGTTGGAAGCTGAAGAGGTGACAGGGTTTATTGAGCAGAAAGAGTCTGTAGCAGACAGCAGGCCAGAAGCAGAAGCTAGAGAGGAGCAGGTCAAAGAGACAGAGATCAGGCAGGCTGCTTAAGATGCCAAAGGGTCTCCCCTTCCTGCTGTGACCAGCTCTCCTTCCCCCTGGTCTCCCAGGGCAAAGGAGACACACACACATCAAGAAAGTCTTAAACTGCTTGGGAAGGATCTGGGGGGGGGGGTGAGGAGGATTAGACAACTGTGGGAAGACGGGGACCTTCAGTTCTCACAACTGCCTCATTGGGGCAAGATCTACCAGGAAGAGTTGATGTGCTCACTAGACCTGGCCTCCTGAGCTGTTTGTTTCTTGGAATAAAGAGTTAAGTTCACTGATGCTGTGTATGTTTATTACTGACCTGCTCCTGGCACTTGCCCCTGGCACTTGATGAGAGAGGCATTCTGACTCTTTTGTGTGCTTATTTATGTGATTGGAAGCATGGCCAGGTCCAAATTTCAAAATTAGGAAAATAAACCAAGCTGTTATCTATATGTGGCTTGGGGAGGTAGGAATCACCTTGACTTGCTAAGCCTAATTCTAAGTGAAGGGAAAGGAAGTTTGCTCATCACCAGTTTTTCCCCAAATTAACTCTTGATCATTCATTGTCTACTGAAGTGCTAAGCAGTATTGCATGTTAAAAGAGACAGGGCCCAAAGCAAGGGTGGAGAACCTCAGAACACTCTCTATTTACCGTATTTTTTACTCTATATTCTCCCTTTTTCCCTCCTAAAAAGTGAGGGGAAATGTGTGTGTGTCTTATGGAGCGAATGCAGGCTGTGCAGCTATCCCAGAAGCCAGAACAGCAAGAGGGATTGCTGCTTTCACTGCGCAGTGATCCCTCTTGCTGTTCTGGCTTCTGAGATTCAGATTTATTTTTTTCTTGTTTTCCTCCTCCAAAAACTAGGTGCATCTTGTGGTCTGGTGCATCTTATAGAGCGAAAAATACGGTAGCCCTCAGGACTCTCCCCAGGCCTCACACTCTTTGTGAAACACAGCCCTCACCAGCCCTGCTTTGCACCTTCCTTGGATGTTTTTGCCGGGCTCCAGTGTATCATCAGACTCTGATAATGCTTCTTGGTTGATGGGAAGGAGGATAGAGAAGGGTGTGAGAGTGTGAAGGAGCCAGCCTACTGTACAGAGGTAAAATTTGCATTTATTGCTGCTCCTGGCCCCACCCACCACTGTCATGTGGTCTATGGAATGTTGCTCAGAAGGGAATGTGTCCCTCAAGCTGAAAAATGTTCCCAGATTGAGAGACAAATAAAAATGACATGGAAACATGAAACACATTTACCTTACTGATAGTTGCCGGTCTCGCTTGGCTGATAATCTTCTTGTTTTTTCAAATCTGTTGAACATAAGGTAAAGTTTTGTTGGGGGGTGGGATTTAAGCTGTAAAAGGAAACCAGGACTTCAGGGGAACCTAAATATAGATACAAAACTGCACAGAATGGAAAACTGAAAGCTTTCTAATCTGTGACGCTTCCACTGTTGCTCTTGCTGCCCATGCCCACTATAAAGTACTTTATGAAGCACCAAGAAGGATTCATTCCTACCTGAAGGTTCGCAGTATTTCCACTGGCGATCTGTATTATAGTTGCTGGTGAGAGAGCACCAGTACTTCCAGTTTACTGTCCCAACTGATGTACAGCTTGTGTAAGACTTGCCATTGTAGGTGAAAGGAAAGACACAGCTCTTTGTAGATTCTCCATCTTGTCCCGTGAGGGTTGGGAGTGGAATGTGAGAGAAAATCATGAGATGAGCACCTCTAGCAAAGGAATAAGGAGGCTAGGAAGCTATCTTAATAATACTTCTGATTATTTAGAAGTTATTTGCTCCCAAATAACTGTGCATTGAATTGCAGCCTACAGCATATTACTTCAACACATTAGGATCAAAATCTGCTTGGTGGCATGGGCTTCCAAGTAAACATGCATAAGATCAGGCTGCATGTCTGAAACCAACTTTCTCCTACACCCCCACCTGGGCAGCTTTCTGCTAACCTGGTAATAAAACTTCCCCACTTCTCAAATTTGTGTCAGCACAGAAGCTCCATAGCTTTTGCTCATCGTAGTTTGGAGTAGTGGAACACCAGTATCCCCCATTCTTCTCGCCGTTGTCATCCTCATTGGTGCAGGCATCAAATGTCTGGTTGTTGAAGGTGAAAGGGAACCAGCAGGGCTGGCCATTGGAATTCCCTCCATACTCTGCAGACAGGGGGGACACAAAAAATAACATGCCGTAGAGTTTTGTCGTGTTGTCAAAGAGAACTGTATGAAGGATATGGGCAATGCCTCTGCATTCAAGGACTAGATAAAGACAGACACTTAATGAATTAGGCCAAGGCCCACCTCCTCCAACATCCTGTTTTCACAGTGGCCAGCAAGATGCCTATGGGAAGCCCATACAAGAAATGAGTGCAACAGGAACCTCCCCACTTCCGATGCACAGCAGCTACTAAACACAGGCATTGGAGGTGGAACACTGCCATTGTAGCTGGTAGTCTCTGGGAGCCTTATTCTCCATAATTTGTCTAACCCCCTTTTTAAAGCCAGCCACGTTGGTGGTCATCGCTACATTTTGTGGGATTGCAATTATATCCAATTAAAACTCATTTAAAATCCTGTGATCTGCAGAGTCACCATCCAGGAAGGCCACTTTAGGAAGACACCGTACAAGGAGCAGATTAATGCCCATATGGCTCTGGGCAGCTGGAAACAACAGAACATGTATTTTTTCACTGCCAGTACTATACAGATATACAAGCTAGGTTCACGTTGTCCAGGCATAGGCAAACTTGGCTCTCCAGATGTTTTGGAACTACAACTCCCATCATCCCTAGCTAACAGGACCAGTGGTCAGGGATGATGGGAATTGTAGTCCCAAAATAGCTGGAGGGCCGTGTTTGCCTATGCCTGATCTTGCCTATACTACATAAATTCCCAGGTCATACAGAACAACCTTATACCTCCCTGCTACTTCAAGATGAAAACCCAGATGTTACATACTCAGTTGCTAGATTCTGCACTGCCATGATGAATATTCATCAAAGGGTGGTTTGCACCACAAACTAGGCCCAAAATGAGCGCTCACAACTTACACTGTGGGCGCCCTTTGCAGGATCCTGGGGACCTACCGGCTGCTTGGGCTGGGCTGCCTCTCAGTGCTATTCTTTGGAGGTTCCCGCCAAACCTCAGTCATTTAGCACTGCTGGAGGTGGGGCCAGTCGCATAAATAGGAGGCAAAGCCGGCGGCAGCCAGGCAGTCACCTCAGGACTCTACCTTGGAGGGAACATCCTTTCCAACTGCTGTCTTTGTCATAGTCTGGAGTTGTGGCACACCACAGCTGCCCATCAAAACTTCCTTCTTTGGTGCACGAGGAGTATGACTTGTTCCTAAACTTGAAGGGAAAGACGCAGGAGGCAGGTTCTGAAGAGAAACAGAGTGGAGAGGTGAGTCATTAACTGAAGCAACATAAATAGGGGATTGGTGTGATATTCATATTCCGTTGCATTTTGTGTGCATGCTAGCCAGCTGTAAGGGGAATTGGCCAAATTCTGCGGATAGATGATAGATAGATAGATAGATAGATAGATAGATAGATAGATAGATAGATGATAGATAGATAGATAGATAGATATAGATAGATAGATAGATGATAGATAGATAGATAGATGATAGATAGATAGATAGATAGATAGATAGATAGATAGATAGATAGATAGATATAGATAGATAGATGATAGATAGATGATAGATAGATGATAGATAGATAGATAGATAGATAGATAGATAGATAGATAGATAGATAGATGATAGATAGATATAGATGAAATGGATTGAATCCAGGTTATGTCAGTTGTACTCGGGTACCACTGAAATCCACTTAAGTCACGAATTTGTCTCATTGATTGCAGTAGGATTTTATTATAAAATGACACCTTAGATATAATGTGCATTCAGATGTGGGAATTATTGTATTCGGTTTCCTGTTTACAATGTTGGCACTTCTGTCCCTTTCCCAACATTCTTTGTACACTGCATTACCTGTGGAGTTATGGAACGGTGTCTTCCTGAGGGATATTACTGCATGTTGCACTAGATTTTGTTCACATTGTGTCCCACAACAGTGTGTGCCATCAGACGGGTCATCAGCCCTTAATCCTCATGTGTGCTTCTTTTCTCCCAAGGCCAGGAAAGAATTGGATTCAGAAATACAGCCCTAGATTTCATCACATGCGTGGAGGTAGTGTGTTACATAAAAACCATGGGGAAAATTATAGCACATAACTCCCATGATTTTCCAGTTTAATTGGGTTGAATAAAGTACTTCCTGAATGCAGCCAATATTGTGAGGACCAACCCTACTTTTAACCTGGCCTGGGACTTCATAGTGAAGGACAGGTATGAAAATAATAATAATAATAATAATAATAATAATAATAATAATAATAATAGCCAGGTGTTCAGCCCTTATTTGGGACAAGGAAGAGAAACATTTCTGGTCTGTCACCCTGAACAGCCTTTCCCACATATTTCCCTATTTTGCTTACTTGAGGGTTCACAGTATGCCCACGTCGGATTTTCATCGTAGTTGGTGACAAGAGAGCACCAGAGCTTCCCATCGAATCTCCCATCTGTTGTGCAAGCTTTGTACCACTTGCCTTGGAAGACGAAAGGGAACCTGCAGGGCCCTGTAGCTAAATTTGCATCTAGTCCTGGAAGAAGTGGAGAAGAGAGAGAAGGAGGGGCTTCCTTAATAACCCACAATACTTCTTTGTCCTGCTGAATGCGCTCAGCAATCAGATTCCTATGCCTGATTAAATCATGGAACAACTACCCACATCACCATCCATCTAAAGTTTTAAAAATGCTATCCTATGCACAGTGCTATTTTTCTAGAAGAAGAGGTGCCAGAACTCACCATGTAAGCCTCCCATGTTCTCTTATAATGGCAATGGAGCCCACCTGAGAGGTGCCAGAACTGAGCTCCACCACGTTCCGGCTGAAAAGAAGCCCTGTCTATGCATATCTGCTCAGAGGTAAGTCCCTTTTAGGTCAATCAGACTATAAAACGAGGCTGGGGAACTTCAGGGCTGGGGACTGAATGCACCCCCAGGCCTTTCCCCAGATCATACTCCCTCCCTAGTGTCACTGCTCACCAGCCCTGCTTTGACCCCTCCTTGAGTGTTTTGGGATAGCTAGAATGTGTCCTTGAACTCTGATAACGCTTCTTGCATGACTGAATGAAGGACAAAGAGGGCTGTGTAAGTGTAAGGTAATATGGACATTCTTTGCTGTGCTCACTTTTCCTTCTGACTCCTCTCATCACTACCATGTGGCCCTGGAAACGTTACCTAGAAGGGAATGTGGCCCTCAGATGGAGGTGGAATCCTCAACTCTGGTACAGCAGAAGGAGAGAAAGAATTGCAGGGACTCTGCACCGGGGTGTAGCTATTGGCTCCATCACCCCCCGCCATCGCATCCACCGCCTGGAGTGCGACCGGCGCAGGACTGATCCACCCTGCAGGGGGGATGTGAGTGCCGCTGCATTGATCCACCGGAGGGTTCGTCACACACACCCCAGGGATGGCATCTGGGGCAAACTGCCCCCCCCCCCGCAATGCCACTGCTCCGCACTGATAATCTGACTATTGACTGTTGCAAGCCACTCTGAAAGCTTTTACCACACACCCCTCTTCAATCAAGCATGGGGTAAAACATGTTTTAAGTAAATAAAGAAAAATACTCCCAAAACAGTGTGTATAGGATTGCCGCTCATGTTCCATTGATTCCAATGGGAGAAAATTAAAAATATGCCTAACCCTCCAACATTTCTCCAATGAAAATAGGGACACCCTAAGGAAAAGCGGGGCATTCCAGGAGCAGATCAAATAAAAAACCAGAATGGCTTCTGTAAATCTAGGACTTTCCCTGGAAAATAGTGACACTTGGAGGGTCTGTAATCCACCCACTAAAATAAATGGAAAAACTGCTTAATTTTGGGTGGCTCTGACACCCTTAATTTCACACTTCCATTTTGTAATGTGACTGCCTGGCCAATGCTGATGCTGATGTCAAAGTGAAAGCAAAGCACTGGAAAGGAGAGTTTACAAAGAGCATTTGCAGAGAATGGAATTTACAAGGGAATATTCTCAGTAATGTGTACCCCCCAAAAATCATTCATTGTGCTTAATCTACAACCAACCATCTTCCAAGCCCTGTGACGCAACCCAACCCTGGCTTCTAATCCAACAGGCCCCCAGTTTACATACTGGTGTCAGCACAGAAGCTCCACTGCTTGTCCTTATCATAGCTTCCTGTTGTAGCACACCAGTAGCGCCCTCTTATTTCGAATTTGTTAGTGCAGGTGTAGTAAGTATGGCCTTTGTAGCTGAAGGGGAAAACACATTCTGCTCCATTCGAGTTGCCTCCATATTCTAGGCAAAAGACAAAAGCAGAGTTTGTGCATGTTTATGCCAATAAATCATTAGTAACAGTTTTCTTGCTTCTTTCTTATATTATTCTTTTTTAAAAAAATAGTCACACCCTATCGCAGGGGCAGGGAACTGGATGCAGCCAGCAGCCAGATTCTTACCTGCCCCAAACACTGTGGGCTATTTTGACAGGTAGGCAAGACAAATCAAACCAGGCAGACAAAGGCTTCAGGATCTGTATATGCTGCTGATCAACTGCCCACCACCACACCCCATTTCCTTTGCCTGCTGGGATTGAAATCCAACCACTCAGGCAAAGGCACATAGTGCCTATATAGACACTGCCTCTGGGGGTTGTCACAGATACGTATCATTAACGAGAATTAAACCTATTTACTTCCTGAATGGGGAGGTCAGAGGGTTACTATATATTACACAAAAGTATAAATGTGTCATTGCCCCTTTACTGGGGGAGGCACATTTGAGTAGAGTGACTGAGAGCAGAAAAGCAGTGATAGAGTATGTTGACCCCTATCTCCATATTGCCTAGACACACACACACGTTCAAACATGTTTGCATGGGCCGATATGCAGTATCAACACTGCAAGAGGGGAAAACAGCTAATGGTGAGCAATTTGGAGTAGGAAGATGGTTAATCACTCCCTGCAAAGCTGCTCTTCTTAACAATAGGATGAGATTGAGACTGTAATGAACTTTGTTAATATTTTGGTCACCTCCAGAGCAAAATATCTTGCAGGAGGGATTCATGTCCACATCAGGAATTCAGGTTTGCACAGTTGAAGTAGCTTAAAGCCTCTTTAAAATACATACATACATACATACATACATACATACATACATACATACATACTTTTACAAGTAGTAAAGTGGCAGAGAAATCCCCTGAACAGTCTGGGATAAACAAATGTCTAATGGTAAGATATATACAGTGGTACCTCGGGTTAAGTACTTAATTCGTTCTGGAGGTCCGTACTTACCCTGAAACTGTTCTTAACCTGAAGCACCACTTTAGCTAATGGGGCCTCCTGCTGCCACCGCACCGCCGGAGCACGATTTCTGTTCTCATCCTGAAGCAAAGTTCTTAACCTGAAGCACTATTTCTGGGTTAGCAGAGTGTGTAACCTGAAGCGTATGTAACCTGAAGCGTATGTAACCCGAGGTACCACTGCAAATGTTGTGCAAGCAAATCAGCATGAATGCTTGCTGTTGTATAACCTCCCCACAAACAGATCAGAACAAATGTTCCATCAGAGGAATATTTACAAGAGGGCAAATGGGCAACTGCCCAAAGGAGCTAATTTGAAGAGGGGGCAATGAGCATTCCTGGGCATTGTGAGGATTAGAACTCCCTTTAGGATGGTGCAAGAGGACTTTTTGCAAGCTCAGAAAATGGAATAACATCTTTAAGAGGAGGAGGGAGAGGTGGTGGTGGTAGAGTAAGGGGAATCCCTGTCCCACTGGCCTGCTGGTGATGCTTGCTAGCCATAGGATTGCCACCCCCATTGGATTCCACTGCCTGAGGTTGCTGCTTCCGTCTACCTCATGAGCAGGCCAGCCCTGCTAGGACCTTTTTGGATCGATTTCAACTCATAGAACACTTCAGTGTGTAAATAAACATAGTCTGCAGGACGACATATTAACACGCAAATGAATGTTACCAGAAGGACTGTATGCCTCTCACCTCTAAGAGCACATGGCTTCAATTTACGATCCTTGTCATAGTTTTCAGTTGTGGCACACCACAGCTGTTGGTCAGGGCTGCCATCAGTGGTGCACGAAGAGTAGTATCTGCCATTGAAAAGGAAGGGGAGAACACAGCCTGGAGGGGCTGGAAGGGAGACAAAGGGAAAGGGAAAATAAGGAAAGTTGCACCACACTCAGCAGAAACTGCGTGAAAAGAAAAATACAGAAGAGATGGCCATCTGTCATGTATGTTCCTTGGGTGTCCAGGAGCTAGGTTTGATTCAGTTCGCATTTAAAGGCAAATCTACCAAATTCGCACTTTTCAAAACAATGTGCCTTCAAAATTCTCACGTCTCCAAATTTTGCAGTGGAATTCTCTAACTGAATAATGTGTACAAAAATGCATGGTGCACTATGGACCCCTTTTAGGGCCTGGCATGCACACTGCAGGGCAGCATTCAACAGCAGCATACTTTACTAATTTGGTTAATTTGGTTAAACTACTTGTTATATATAACCTTTCTTCCACACCTTTCATTTGGGTGTGGGAGCAAAAAAAAGCACCCCAGTGGCAAAAAAAAAAAACAATCAACTTTGCCAGAATTTATTTTGACCCAGGTGCTTCTGTTTTGCTTTGCTTTGGTTTCAGTATTAAAAAATGTCAGTGATGAAATGGCTAAAATCTAGGAACATTGTTTGCTACTGTGCAGGTTTCAATAAATAAGGAGAACCCCCTTTTCTTGGAAGAAGGAAATATCACTTTTATTTAATATGGGGCTCCTTTGTAAAATACTGGGTGGAACATGATAACCTGAGTTACAGAGAGCTTTATTTGATGTAATGGATCAAATTAATATGTGGAATTGGGGGGGAAACGGAGACATGTTGTCTTATTTGGATGGCAAATTCCTCAGCATGCCCGATTATGATAACATTACTAGTTATGTAATTACCGGTAATCTGTCGTTTTTCAATATGTCAATTTGTGTGTTTTAATATTCAATGCAAAAATAAAAGATTAACTATTAAAGCTAAAATCAACTGCAAGGGATTTGTTGAAAGTAGGACTCCATGATATTAAATAAAAGAATTCCTTCCAGTAGCACCTTAGAGACCAACTAGTTTGTTATTGGTATGAGCTTTCATGTGCATGCACACTTCTTCAGATCTGTAACTAGATCCATGATATTAGGCACTTTTGATGTACACTTTTTGGCACCAGCTTTTTTTTAAAAAAATGCTTAAGCAAGTCTGCCCATACAGGTAATCCCATTTGATATGATGTAATATAGACCATATTTTTCTGTGTATAAGACTATACATTTTCCTACATTCTTGAAGTTTAAAAGAAGGTGTCGTCTTATACATGGATAGTGCATAGTGCATTTTCTTAATTTTGAGTCCCCAAAAATAGGTGGCGTCTTATACACAGGGGCATGTTATACATGGAAAACTACGGTAATATGTGTTTCATAATGCATATTTTTTAAAACTCTTGGCTTTATGTGGGGAATAGGGTGGCTTATTTTCAGTATTTATTTTATCAATAATATTAATGCATATTTTATGTAAACCACTTAGAGGCTTTCATGATTAAGTGGTATAAATCTCATTAAATAAATAAGAAAGTAAAAGGACACACACACCAACCCAGCAGAAAGGGGCCAGAGAATTGACAGGTGGAATGGTTCTTACCTTCAGATGCCACAAGTAGTGGCAGGAGAGCCCAGGTGCATGTGAGGAAAGCTATGACAGGAGCCATCTCTACTCTCAGTCAGGGAATCTGACAGGCGTGAAGAAAGCACATCATGCTCACTCTTTATATAGGCCCTGCCCGGCCACATCTTCCTCCCACAACTACAACAGAAGGAGATGTTCAAAACCCTGCTATGTTAAACCTGACCTTTTCAAACAGCATTAGACCGCTCCCATTTTTGCTTCACTTCTGCACGAGCTGATACAGTACAGGACAAAGCTTTTGCTTGGGATTGCCAAATGGCTAAAGGGAAGAAAATTGCCATTGCCTGCTCCTATCTCTTTAACAGAGGCTACACAGACTGAAACTAACAAGTGAAGTTTTCATCCCTGAGAGCTAAACACAGTGACCTGGAAATTGCTGCTGATCTAGCCAGCATATCGGTTACATTTCACATACTTAGACCAATGGTGATACATGTCCAACAACATAGTCCTTTAAATAAGTTGGGTGCTTGGAAACTCTGCCAGACCACTGGGGACTGGTAGCCAAGTCTGGGGGGCCACCCAATTCTTGCTGAGGCTGTGGTGCGACCCTAGGTGGCGTTGAAACCAAGTCCCCTGTATCCGCTGCTGTGGGTGGAGCCTCCGCAAGTGGAGTGGTCTGAGTCTGTGGTAAGTCTGGCAGACCCTCTGAAGTGGCTTGGTTCGACTCCACGCTGGCAGTTTGCGAGAGAGGTGGAGCCTCACCACCTGTAAGTGTCTCTTCCGGAGCCACGAGCGCAGTTGGGGGCACCACGGTAGTGTCCAAGTCCCCAAACCTGTGCCTAAGCTGGTCTATGTGCAGGCGCCACAAGCGTCCGTCTTTGAGTGCCACCTGGTACGAGCGAGGTCCAGTGACTCCCACTACTGTGGCGGGCACCCAAGGAATGTCCCCCACATAGTTCCGGGCAAAGACCTGGTTTCCTGGAACAAATGACCGTGGCGCATTGGCACAGCCTGGGGGTTCGGCCACGGCAAAGTCCGAGTGCAGCCGGTCGAGTGGGGACCTGAGGCGGCGGCCCATAAGCAGTTCGGCAGGACTCCGCCCTGTGGCCGCAGGAGGGATGTGTTGCACGAACAAGTATTTGGTGACCTGCTCATGCCAGTCTCCCCGGTCCAGGCGCGCCAGTGCCTGTTTTGCCGAGCGCACCATTCTCTCCGCTTGCCCATTGCTGGATGGATGAAATGGTGCCATTAGGGCATGGTGGATGCCCAGTCCCAAAACATACTGCTCAAAAGTGCCTGATGTGAACTGCGGTCCATTGTCGGAGACAAGGACATCAGGACACCCATGCGTCGCAAAGAGGCCTCGCAGCACCCGGATGACGGCCTCGGTAGTGGTGGAGGGCATCAGGGCCACCTCCAGCCATTTGGAATAGGCGTCCACCACTACCATAAAGGTCCGGCCATGAAAGGGGCCGGCCAGATCGATGTGCACCCTCGACCAGGGTGTCTTGGGCATCTCCCAGGTGTGTCCCTTAGCTGCCGGTGGTGCAGGCCTTGATTCTTGGCACGCTTGACAGGCGGACACCCAGGCAGTGATGGCATCGTCCATGTTAGGCCACCAGACGTAACACCGAGCCAACGCCTTCATTTTGACGATTCCCGGGTGGCCAACGTGCAGAGCCTCCAGGACGCGTTGACAGAGTCTTTGGGGAATCACGACGCGGTCTCCCCACAGCAGACAGCCGCGATGAGCCAAGAGTTCATGTTGTCTGGTTGCGAACGGTTGGAACTCCAATGCAAAAGGCCCTTGTGGCCACCCCCTCCACACCCAGTTGAGCACACGGCTGATGGTGCAATCCTGGGCAGATGCGGAGGCCACAGTGGCAGCCGATACAGGCGCTGCCGAAAGATCCTCAATCAGGAGGAGCGATGAAGCAGGAGCCGGGTCTTCCACAAACGCTGGAAGAGGGCAACGGCTGAGGGCGTCGGCATGGCCCATCGATTTCCCCAGGCGATGGACAAGCCGGTAGTGGTAGGCAGCCAGGAAAACAGTCCATCGCAGCATGCGTGGCGAGAGGACTGGTGGAGTTGGACGATCACCGGCGAGGAGGCCCAGGAGCGGCTTGTGGTCAGTGATGAGGTCAAAAGTCCTGCCGTAGAGGTATTCATGGAACCTCTTCACTCTTGCTTTGCCTTCCCTCCCAGTGCTTCCATCCCCACTCAGTTCCCAAGGACCTCCACCACCGTCCAGGCCATGTGACACACACAACTCTGTCCTCTTAACACTTCACAACTGCTCATCACCTCACTCTGCCACCTGCTTCAGGTAATACCATGCGCTGGAGAACTGGTGTCTGACTGGTGCTTGTTTTGTCTTGCTTCCTACCAGGCAACAGGTATCATTGGGTGAGGTGGCCACGGAAATAAACTCTTCAAGTTCCTGTTATCTCTTCATTGCCCTTTCCAAAGCAATCTGCCAAATCTACTGTGAGAGTCCCAAAACAGAGAATTTATTCCTCTGCCCCCCCACAAGCTCACTCAAGGTTAATAATGATGGTTGCAAAGAGCAACAGTGCACTATTAAAGTCCATAATTATTATGAAATAATATGTATATACTGGTCACTTAGTCCAAGGTTTTGTTATTAATTTTCCATTGCCATGATTGACATCAATTGAAGCATTCCTCTGGGACAGCCTTTTTGTTGTTATTGTGACAATTGCAGGGGCAAAATGGATTAATCCCTCTCTCCCAACATGCTGTGGTTCTGATTCTAATTTTTTGAAGGGGGAGTGGCTGTGCCTGCTATTTACCATTCAAAAGATAAGCCACAAATCCAAAAATGACACATATAAATGATACATATGTTACTTAGTCCCAAATCTCCTTGAATTCAGTGGGATTTGGGGTGACCTTGAAGCTCATTTGGGCCAGTCCCTATCTCTCAGACTACCTACCTACCTCACAGGGTTGTTGTGAGGATAAAGAAGGGAGAACCAAGTACTCTACCCTGAGATCCTGGGGGGAAAGTAGAATATAAATATAACAATACTCACCCCTATCGTTCTGCCCAGACACTGAAATCCAGCTCCGAGGGCCTTCTGGCAGTTCCCTCACTGTGAGAGGTGAGGTTACAGGGAACCAGGCAGAGGGCCTTCTCGGTGGTGGCACCCGCCCTGTGGAATGCCCTCCCATCAGATGTCAAGGAAATAAACAACTATCTGACTTTTAGAAGACATCTGAAGGCAGCCCTGTTTAGGGAAGTTTTTAATGTTTGATGTTTGATTCTGTTTTCAATCTGTTGGGAGCTGCCCAGAGTTATTATTATTACTTAAAGACATTTCTGAAGCAGCGCCTTTCTTACTCACTTTCCCCCCGATTCTTACACCTCTCAGCAAGTTCACCATGTTTTCCATCTGAATTTTCTAACTGTTCAACTGGCCCCAAGAACCCCACTGTCCAATCAGACCTTGCTGTTACACAAACCAATCACACATTAGAGCAAAGCAACCAATCATATAGAAGTTCCATTGTTTGTCCAACCAATGGGAATGGTGTGTTATACAATCATGCATTAGAACAAAACCACCAATCGTATAGAAGTTTCATTGTTTGTCCAGCCTATGGGAATGGTATGTTTTATTGGGTGCTATATCCAGACCCTAAAGAACACCCAGGGCCAGCCCTACCAGTAGTGAGGTGCCTGCCTCGGGCAGCTGATTTTAAGGTTTATGAAAGGGCAACAAATTGTTACCTATTTAATTTTATTACTGTTGTATTTTCGCAACCAGGGACAGGGAGAGAGGTTTGTAGGATATTTCTGCCTCAGATTAAAAATAACTCACTAAGGTACAGTGGGACTGGAGAGCAAATGGGAGGTTTTCCTAACTGTTCTCCAAACTGCTAAGATACCTGCTTTATCTCACTTTTTGGGAGTCAGTGCATACATAGGAGGGAAGAGTTAAATTCTCAGAAGGAACATGGCCTAACTACCTACGAAGAAGCTCTTGAAACAGGGTTTATCACTGCTGTCAAACAGAACAAAAGCCACTTTTAGAAGGTAATCGACCGGTAACTTTTGTAGATAATTCTATGGAAGATAGGGTGTCTTTGTTCACTAATGCAGAAAAAGTTGTAATAACAAGACTTATACAGGTGACCCAAAACAAGCAGTGATAATTTCATGACTGAGAGGAGCAGGAGGACCTGGCTCACTCGCCCCATCCCTCCTATTGTGACTCACACCACCCTCCCCACACCACTGTCCATGTATTAGAGGTTGTATCTGCAGTCTGAATGTATATAGGCTCATCCCAAGAGTTGGAACTCTGAAAACATAAGGTTCCACCTCATGGGGCCAGACTTTGTGTGTTTGACAGGCTGCCCCACTGCACTCAACCAATGGATGGCATGGGGAGTGGCTGGTACAGGGCCTGGGTGAGGGTTAAGGTGTGGTGCCCTCACTATGGAAATTTGGCAGCCCAACTCTTTATTGGTTTTTTAGAAGATCAGTAAAGACCATAATTTACCAGTGTGCATTTGGGGACCCTATTATAAACCAAACCACTGGTGAACCCAGAGGTCTGTGACTGGATCTCTCATACCATCCAAAACTCTAAATAGGGAAAGTTCTATTAATCCTTTCCACCAAAACCATTATACCAATCTGAATCCACCCGGCCACAACCCGCTATTTACAGTGCAGGATAAAATGTATTAGAGCCATTAGAAAAGCACCCTACCCCAGGGAGTGCATACTAGGTAATTTCGATTTAAAATTCAAAGTGGATTAATTTCTCCCTTGTGCATATTTGAGGCATGGTAAGATTCCTACAAAAGAGGCTCTTTCCCAATTTTTTGTGGAAATGGGCCTTCTTCCCCAATGCCCCCTCCCACAGATCACATAATTATATAACTAGTTCTCTTTCATAACTGAACTTTGAATTGCTGTGCCAGGTGATAACTGAATGTTTACCAGAATGTGGTAAATGCCAGAAGTGATGGGATCTGGCACTGACCAGTTCTTGGAGGATTTTCAATTTTTCATCATTCTCCAAGGATCTGTCAACTGGTGTCATGGGAATATAAGAGTCCGGTTATGCAAGTTGTGAAGAAATGGTTCCATGTCAGAAAAACCCTAAGCGTGTCTGCTCAGAAGTAGTAGAGAAAGGTGAGAAAGTGTGTATCTTTCTATAATATCAGAACACAGGAACATGCGCTGAAGCTGAATGTTGGAAGAGTCAGGACACAAAAAAATGAAGTATTCATTCACATAGCATATAATCAAATAATGTGATTCACTCGCATGAGATGTAGTGATGGCCAGCAACTTGAATGGATTTATAAGATATTCATGAATTTGTCTAACTCTCAGTAGCTACTAGGCATGATGGCAATGTTCTGCCTCCACTATCAGAGGCAGTAAGCTGCTGAAAACCAGGTGCTATTATTTTAAAGAATGAAATCAAGGACTCATTTGAAGTGTTGTAATAGTGGGTGACTTCTACTACCTTCATATAGACTGGCCAGTGGCATAGCATTGCTAGCAGTTGGGGCACGTGCACCTGCCAGGCAGAGTGTGCCAGCCGAGCCCACAACGCCAAGGCTGCCAGAGCAACCCCACCCCCACTAGAGCAAAGTGGGGCTGTGATGAGCCCCCCCCCCTGTGCAGGGGGAGCCCAGCCAGTTAATGCGGCCCTTGGCAGGCAGTAAGAAGCACTGAGCTGTTCTGCACTGGGGGTGCCTACATGGGGGGCATCTGGTTCATGCCCCCTCAAAAATTGTGTGCCAGGGACCGTGGCCTCTCTGGCATCCCCCACACAACACCCCTGAGACTGGCTACATATGTGTTCCAATCAAGACAAACAGGTCAAATTGTTAAAGGGAACTGCCTTTCCTACTCTCTGTCTACAGTTATGCCTATACACTGGCTGTTGGATTATGACATCATAACATGTCACACTGTGCTTATACCCACTGATTCCTGATTGGCTGACTCCAATCATTTATGAGGTCACAGAAGGTGTGTTTAATAGCTCCTTAGGAAATTCATTGTTGGTGGAGATACAAGGTTACATTTTACCCAGAACTGATGCCAGGCTGGTGATGGTAACTTTTTTCCACGCTATGCCCCCAGTTCTTGTACCCCTGAATATCTTTCAACCTCACTTCTGAAGAAGCAGCTGAATTCACAATCCCAGTGGTCTCCCACCGAATGGAAAACTTGGTAGCATTGCTCCTAAAGCTTCCCAATACTTGGAGAAAAGGTAATTTTGCATAGGAATTCAAATAAGCTGAATTCCTCTAGTGTTTCTATCTTAAATGTGCTTCACATCATCAACTTAGAAAGCTACTTCTGTTCCTTCCTAGCAATCACTGCTGAGAACAAAGGAGAGTGTCAGCTGTTCCTTTGCACTGAGCAAATGCACGTGTAATAGGTGCCACATTGAAAAGGATATTCTAGCCAACTATTTCCAGTCCAGTATTCAGAAGTAGTTCATCTCTAAGCCAGCAATGGTTTAATATCAAACAAGAATAGATTCCCATGCCAACTCTTTTATCAGAATTATGAATCTAAAGTCCATAACTGATTGTGGTGGTCCCTTAAGTAAGGAGCATGCATGTGAGAACTCAATCTTTTGTCTCTGCTTTATACAGGGTAAGTGCAAGGCAGCAATGATGGGTGGGTCAGGATGAGCAGATCTAATGACAGGTGTCTGGTTGATATGCAGTAGATCAGCAAGGATATGTGGCTCTCAGAGTTGTTTTAACAATAGGGACAATGAAATGGCTCCTCACCTTGCTCCTTCGACTGTTGAAATGAAGAATGCTGGGAAAGCAGATTTTGAGTGAAAAGACTGAGCCCAGCTCAGTTCTGAGCAGTAGCTCAGAAGCACCATGCTCTTTAATTCTAAGTAAGTGTATGACTTTTGCATCTGACTCCAGTTGGTGGATCACTAATTTTTAGTAGAATATGCAAGCTTCAAGCCTGCTTTCTTCTGCACTAGAGTTGCTGCACACCACAGCTGCTAAGAAACACCTTGGACAGGAAGATTTTCAGAAAGATCAAAGGGGGGTAGAAGGAGAAGGCATACAGATTGGAAATCTAGAGATTTTTTATTCCCAGCTACGAAACTCATCAAAGTAGGAAAAAGACAGCTGGACTTGGTTCATTTGTTGGTCTTCTTTTTCGTTGACATCCTCATCATTCAGAGTCAGGAACATCCAAACTAAAACTACAAACATCTCAGCAAGACCAGGTAGTTGGTTAGTCAGCTCCTTTGGACACAAACTGAAAAGAGAGCTAAATATATAGGAAGAGTCTCAGCATATGGGTTAAGATAAAATCTCTTTGCCTCGTCCTACATATGAGACAAAACACATGAACCAGCAACCCCACATGACATGTCTGCTACTAGACTTTACTGCCAATTTCTTCATCTCTGCTTGTCTGGAAGCATCCCTCAGTTCCACTGTGATCCATCCCCCCCTGAACTTCCTCTGCTTGAATCAGCACAGAATCCATCTGTTGTCAGTGTCAGCATTGCTAGTGAGGGAACACCAGCTCCTTTTATCTGAGCGTCCTGCTTTGGTGCAGCTGTCGTATGACTTGCCACGAAAGATGAAGGGGAAGACGCAGTCCAATTCTGAATTGGAAAGAAAGAAAGAAAAAGCGGATTGAAGAGGTTAAGCTGAGGGATGGGCAAGTCTATCAATTTTGGTTACTCTCACTGTTTAAGTGCAAATTTCTCCTAATACAGTGGTACCTCAGGTTAAGTACTTAATTCGTTCTGGAGGTCTGTAGTTAACCTGAAACTGTTCTTAACCTGAAGCACCACTTTAGCTAATGGGGCCTCCTGCTGCCGCCGCGCCACCGGAGCATGATTTCTGTTCTCATCCTGAAGCAAAGTTCTTAACCTGAAGCACTATTTCTGGGTTAGCAGAGTCTGTAACCTGAAGCGTATGTAACCTGAAGTGTATGTAACCCGAGTACCACTGTACAGTTATACCTTGTTTGGAATACAAGGCATGGCTTCTGATTGACTGCAGGAAGTTCCTGCAGCCATTCGGAAGCTGCGGAAACCGTGCCGGACATTCGGCTTCCAAAGAACGTTCGCAAACCGGAACACTCACTTCCAGGTTTGTGGCATTTCGGGAGAGAAAATGTACGAGTGCCAAGATGTTTGGCTTCCAAGCTACGACTGTATACACAATTTTGAAAAGTGTATCTTTCTCTTAAGATAACAAATTGGTTGTTTTATTTTCACTAGTATATTTTTGTCATCCCTACTTAAGTTTCACACTTTTAGTCTGCCATTCCCCATAATTTCTACCTATGACAACATTATTCAGTGATTTAAAAACCCCTTGTGTTTCAGATGAAAGTTAAGGCACAATCTTGTGCTCCAAAACCACCAGGAAATTGTAAGGCATGACAAATGCCTTAACTTCCATGCCAAGTAAGAAGTAAAGACTTTGTATGGTCTCAACTCATAGGCTCCATGCACCCACACTTCGACCTGGTCTTTAGTCTGACCTACAAATAGGAACATAAATAACCCCCACCCCACCCTTGACCTTTTATTTGCCCTCCCAATCTGCTTACGGTTGCAGAATCTCCATTTCAAGCCGGTTTGGTAGTCTGGAGTGGTAGCACACCAAGCTTTTCCTTCATGTTTATCCAGGGTGGTGCAGCTTTCATAAGGTTTCCCCTTATAGATAAAAGGGAAGACACAGCCTGTTTCTGAATAGAAAAGAAGGGGGGAAGAGAGAGTTGGAGTAAGACCACATTTGCATCTCAGACTGCAAATTACTTTAAACAAGCACCATGCCTCCCAGGAATCCCAGGGACCCCAATTATGGGAACATGTTATGTTGAGTTTTCTTAATTCCTTGCAGAATTCCCTCTCTTAGGTTGCTTCCAGGTGACCTGCTTACTGAGCATTTATCCAGATTTGCTTGAAGAAAGCTTACACAGACGTTAGACTATGGCTGGTCTTTATTGAACATTCATTCCAAATTGTTCACAAGGAGGTTAGACAATCTTGATTTGCTTCCACAAAGTTTATACAAAGGCTAACTTAGAGCTTATTTGTTTGTGGAAAGGTTATACAGCGACGAGCATTGCTCCTGATTCACACTTTTCACTGCATTTCCCCATTACTTTCCTAACTGCAGAAATTCCAGGTTGGTCCTTTTTGGGGTTCTGGGATCATAGCCATTGCCAGAAAGTGTCTGGTGCCTCTTAGAAACTAGAGCTCCTGTCATTCCTTGGTGACACCATAACAATTAAACTAATTTTAAACCAGAAACAATATTAAGTCACCAACAGATGGCAGCACAAATCAAGAGAACAATGGCATTCACATGGCAAGTATGTTGTTTTCTTCTTCAGTGAGCCTTAGAATAACTGGTTGTGTTCCTGTTAATGCTTGCCTTTTAAAAGGCTTAACCTTGAACTAAAACTCCCTCTTTGTTGATGCCTTTAATATTGGCTCTCCAGATGTTGTTGGACTACAACTCCCATTATCCCCGAATATTTGGCCAAGCTGGCTCTGGATGAGGGGTATTGTAGTCCTAACAACATATTGGAACCCAAAGTCAAAGAACACTGCCATAGGAGAAAATAGCTAGATTCCTGCCACGCTGCCTTTCTTCACAGCCACAAAATTTCTTCTTTCTCATGCATGTATTTTACTTTCACAGGCTTTGCTGCCCTATACAGAGTAGTTACTCTTCAGTTTTACATGGACATAAATGGTTTTTTTAATGACAGTGTCATAATAAGGTACTGAGCAAGCCAAATGAGGAAGCACTCGCTAATCCCAACCCTTCCTTAACACAGAAGGGAGGAGTATTTGCAGCAGATGTTCTACTTTAGAGGGCCGTTCATAATTCTGGATACAAGATAGAACAAGGAAGATTATTCTTGTATAAATGAAAGCTATAGTGGTGAACAATTTGCCACATGTATAAATGTATGCGGCCCAGTTTGCTCGTTATATTTTGTTGCAGTAAGGTTACCACAAAGTGATTTTTGCACATGCACCTTTGGTGATGAAAATGGGGGATAGGGGTAGAGTTGGCACTTATATTGCCCTATCACACATTTAAACCTCCAGCACACAAACAATGAAAACCTCATAGTCAAAATGTGAAAATAATGTGATCAAAAATGAGTGTGGTCACCAAATACATTGGGATTATGTCCCTCATCTAGATGTGATATAAGCAGATCAAGCATCATTAATGAGCTTATCTACTAACAGATAAATGTTGATGCTCTCCTTTGGAAAGCTGTAGACTTTGGTGACTCATCAGCAATTGCATCCCAAGAGAAAAGGGGGCATGAATTTCCATTTTAACTGCAGTAAAGAATGAGCCTCAGAGAAAAGGTATGTCTCTCCACTTTTCTCCTCTGCCTGTCTCTTACCTGTGATGGTGCAAAACATTGATTTCTTATCTGCATCATAGTTGGCAGTGGTGGCACACCACAGCTTCCCATCAGTCCGTCCATCTTCTGTGCAGCTGCTGTAATTCTTGCCATCAAATATGAATGGAAAGATGCATTTGGGAGGTTCCTTGCTTATATCTGGTCCTGTTTCAAGGAGGAAGGGCAGGGAGAGGCTAATTTTCGCCTAATTATATACACGTTTATGATGCCTGTCCTCCAGGGCCAACTTTACCTGGGGGTGCGGGGCACCCAGGCGCCGAATTCTGGGGGTGCCAACCAGTCCCTCACGATCGGCAGCAGTGAAAAGTAACGGAGCACAAGTCCCCACCCACCTCCACCATCGCTCTGTTACTCTGTAGCGTCAAATATTCCCGATGAGTCAGGAAACAAAAGCAGTTTTTTCCGCTGCATTGTTGTTACAGGTGAACTTTGAGTTCACTCCCCCTAAACTAAATTTGGGGGCTCTGGGTGGATCTTTGCACCCCAGCGGCACATATGCTAAAGACGGCCCTGCTGTCCTCCTTTGTCTGCAGAGTACGCTCCTCCGTAATCCTCCACAGTTCGGTGCTTTTGCATGATCAGACAAAGAGGAACACCCTTCTCCTAAACTAACCCAAACACTTTTGCTGTCCTCTTCCTACCTGTGACATTGCAGTACATCCATTTCTCATCCTTGTCATAGTTGCTGGTGGTGGCACACCAGTGTTTCCCATCACTCATGCCCTCTGTAGTACATGTGCTGTAGGAGTTGCCCTTGTAGATGAAAGGGAAGGTGCAAGATGGACTCTCTACCTTCAGATCTGGACCTAGGTTTTAAAATTAGAAATAAGGTGGGTGGAGGGATATGTGGGCAACCCATATCATAATTGATGCCACACAGAGAGAATATGATACCAGCCAATCCAAATACCTATACACAACACCCGAGAAGCTGATATTTTATTTTTAATATATTTTTATTAAAGATTTCTTGGTTTACAAAAGCATGTCAATGTCTTTTTTTCAAGTTACATTTTCTCCAAGTCAGTTTCATTTGTTGAGACATTAGTGTTACATTAGGAAGAAAAGGGGGGAGAGGTAGAGGTGGCCAGGGTGAGTGGGGGTAGAGTCGGGTGGCAATGTTTCTATTTTACTTAATGTATGTGTGGGGTATTAAGTCAGCAAACTAGGCCCCTAAAGACCTTCGAAAACCTCCTCCTAACAACAAAGGGATATGGCAAATGGATAGTATCCGCAATATACAAAATACTACTCCACAACCCCCTAGACGTAATCAAAAAACAATGGGAGGATGACATAGGCTATGATATTAACCCCACTCAGTGGACCAGAATGTGGTTTAAACCTCCCTTTAAATCCATATCAACAAAAAAGAAAGAACTCACAGGTGGTACCAAACACCACTGAAACTAGCACAAATACGCCCAGGAACCTCAAGACAATGCTGGAGAAGATGCGCCTCCACAGGCACATACCTCCACATGTGGTGGGAATGCCCCCAAATCCAACTATTCTGGACAAGAGCCATACGAGAAATATGCAAAATAACTAAGCAAGTATTAGAAGTGCTTTAGTAGATAGAGAATCCCCACAAGTCAGAAGTTGAGGTCTCTGAATAAATATGACATGCTGAGGGAACAACTAGACACACATATATGGCTGTCTTTTAACATTGGAGTCACTAATTTTTTGGATCAGATCAATGCAGTTCAGTTTTTGTGTTTTTGATTTTTTTTTTGTAAACTAAAGCCCTCTTCATGTTTTCTCCACATGATGTAGTCTCCTACAGGTTTATTGTAAAGTGAGGCCATGCCCCCAATATCATACCTCCTGCTCGTTCTTCCCTCTCAACACCCACATGTTAAATATGGATGTCTAGAAAGAATTGTAGTTGTTGTTCCCAAGTAGGTGCTCCACACAATTGTATGGGGCAGCTATACATAAGCAAGACCATGGGCCAGATGTGGTTCTTCAAACCTCTCTGTCTGACCCTTGAAACTTTCCCCAGGTCACACCTTCTTTCACCCAAACCACACTCCTTGAGTATTTTTACCAAGCTAGAATGTGTACTTGAACTCTGATAATACCTCTCACTTGGCTGGCTAAAGGATAGAAAAGCGCACGTGAACATGTGAAATGGAAATCACTAATCTGCATTCATTCTGTGCCCCTCTGAATCTCCCTGCTGGAAGCTGGTCTCTATTTTCTTTTCCTAGCTTTAGACTTCCTCAGGCCCTTACCTGAGTCCTCACAGAACATCCATTTCTTGTCGACATCATAGTTGCTGGTGGTGGAGCACCACAGCTTCCCATCATTCCGCCCACTTGCAGTGCAATTCATATACAACTTGCCCTCAAAGATGAATGGAAAGGCACATTTGGGAGCTTCCTTGCTTATATCTGGTCCTGTTTCAAGAAGGAAGTGGGGGGGGGAGAGAGAAGAATGTTGTAGTTTTAAGCTAATTATATACACTTCTATGATGTCCGTCCTTCTTTGTCTGCAGAGTACTCTCCTTTTTAATCCTCCAGTGCTGCTTGCTTTTGCTTGATCTGACAAAGAGGAACACCCTTCTCCTAAACCAACACAAATACTTTTTGCTGTTCTCTTCCTACCTGTCACATTGCAGTACATCCATTTCTTATCCACATCATAGTTGCTGGTGGTGGCACACCAGAGTTCCCCATCACTCATGCCTTCTGAAGTGCATGTGCTGTAGGATTGGCCCTTGTAGATGAAAGGGAAGACACATGTTGGACTCTCTACCTCTGGATCTGGCCCTGGATGTTAACATAAAAAGAAGTGGGTTCAAACATTTGTGGAGCACCCAAGAAAATATCTCGTGGCAGATTACAGATAGAGAAGATACAACATCCACAGACACCAAGAGCTGCAAGCAGAATCCAGGAAAACGTGGAATGTTGCTTCTTATGTACCACTAGGGACGCAAGAAGGTATTATTTTCCAACCTGCCCTGTATTCATTGCATGTAGCACTGTTTCCATTCTGCTTCAGTTCATCTTCCACCAAAAACTACATTATGTTATTGTTCAATGTGGCAAAATTGTGTAATTTATGTAAGTTTTATAATTAATGACGCTGATTATGTTGTCATTACGTTATCCCACTCCATTCATTTCAATGCAAATGGAGGGAACCATCATAAAGTATCATTTGCAATCTCAAAACAGAAACAATAGCAAATACTGATTTTATTCACTGGATTTTTTTCATGGGATGAATAAAAGAACATTGGTGATTTCCACTCCCATTTCCATTTTTACTGAAATTCTCTAACATCCATGGGTGCTGCCCAAATATTTATCTCCTTCCTTTACTCCCATTACTGCTTTGGCACCTGGTGACAGGAACTCATTAGAGGAATGCAGTGGGATCAGGGTGGAAGACCTGGAGCCTATTGTGATGACATACAAACATAACAATTTGTCCCAAGAGTTGCCAACATATTTAACCAACTTTTAGCAATGGCAATCACTAATCTGCATTCATTCTGTGCCCCTCTGTATCTCACTGCTGGAGGTTTGTCTCTGTTTTCTTCTCCAAGCTTTTGACTTCCTCAGGCCCTTACCTGAGTCCTCCTCGCAGAACTTCCATTTCTTGTCGACATCATAGTTGCTGGTGGTGGAACACCACAACCTCCCATCATTCCGCCCACTTGCAGTGCAGTGGACATACAATTTTCCCTCAAAGATGAATGGAAAGCTGCAAGGTGGACTTTCCACACTCTTGTCAGGTCCTGTCATTAAACAAATAGATTATGTATTCTTAAAGTAGAAATGTTCTCTCAGACGTCTTAACTTATTTTCTTGTTCTGTGATACAAGTCCTATATATTTTAAAGCTCAAATGAAGGACAGAAAGTCTGTGTCTGTCTAGTGATGGTGTCTGTCTGGTGGGGTACTGCTCCTGTCCACTTGCCAGAACCAGGGTGAGATAGGGCAGCACAGCAGTGAGGGTGTAGAAAGCATTGGGTTAGCAGAAGCCAATGCAGACACACATACAGTAGGGTCCACTACCCTTGCCATAGGTGCCAACTCCCTGGGGCCCTGGGTGCCCAAGCACCCAAAAAATTACCCATGAAGGGGCCAGGCACCCACAAATTTCAGTGACAGGGCCATGCAAGCTGCATGGCACCCATGGCCTCACGTACCCACAGTTGCAGGGCCAAGCTGACACTCCTGGCCCTTGCCAAACCAGTGACCTTGCTACCATGCTGCTCCACCCCACTCCACTCCCAGCAAGCAACAGCACTGCCATAGCCAGGAAAGCAACACCCCACCGCGTGTACCACATATGAGTTATTTTTAAAATCCATACAATACAATGCAAATTACAAAACAGAACAGTTCAATAGCTGTTTAAGGGTGTTAGTGTAATTCACATAGAAATAAAAAGGTTTAAAATCCATTTGAAAGTTAACAAAGATGGGGCCGTAAGTATCCCCTTCAGAACAGTTAAAAGAAATTACGGGGTCATCAATGATTAAGCCCCAGTTTCTAGTGCCTACCAGCCTAATGGGCCTTGACAGCGAGCCTTTGAGCAAGCTTCTTGAGGCTTATCTTAAGAACTGGGAAGGTTCCTATGAGCACAGATGGTCCTTCAAATAATCTGGTTGAAATTATTTAGGGGCTTTAAAGATCAATGCCACAATTTTTTAAAAAACAAATTCCCAAAACAAACAGACAACCAATATAACTGCAACAGTGTCTGTACAATATGTTCTGAATGCCTCCCCCCACTCCTATAATTTCCATGTTCAAAAATCCATGGAGAATTTATCAAGTGTGAAATAGAAGTGTCAGCTGCCCTTTAAATGGAAGAATTCCCCACCCCTGTCCTAAATGAACACAAACTACTCATGTCCTTCTCCTCTTACCTGTGTCATTACAGTACATCCACTTCTTATCTAAATCATAGTTGCTGGTGGTAGCACACCAGCATTTCCCATTGCTCATGCCGTCGGTAGTACATGCACTGTAGGGCTTGCCATTATAAATGAATGGAAATACACAGGAAGGACCCTCTCCATTTGAGTCTGGCCCTGAATTTGAAAGGAAAAAGAAGATGAGTGCAAGCAGGGCTTTTTTAAGCTGGAACTCACTGTAACTCAGTTCCAGCACCTCTCAGGTGGGTGCCATTTCCATTATAAGAAAACAAGGGAGGCTTCCTGGTGAGTTCCAGCACCTCTTTTTCTTGCACTCGGGGCAAGGATTTGTGGACCTCTCAAAGCAGAAGCAGTTATCATCTTCGGTTACTCATAGGGAAGATTTTCTATCAGCACACAACCTTCACACTTTCACTCCAGAGTGGAATACATACAATCTGAGATGTACTCGCCTCTGTTCTAAGCAAGGAATAGGACAATGATTTGTTTGATGGTCATCCATGATGAGCTGAGGCTCTTACATGCATGAGCAGAGAAAAAAGTACCTCTAGGCCCTATCACAGGAGGGGGCTGGGAAAACACTGAGAGAGTTTTTTAAAAAAAAAAGAAATCAGATGGGGCTGAAATGACATTAAAGTAGTTGTGAAGTGAAACTCCCTGTGAAAAACATTCCATAGTCAGTGTGTTACCCCAGTGTGTTACCACTGTGAAGGCCCCAACCCTTACGTCTGATGGCAACTCCTCCCGAATTAACCTATATTGTGCTGCTTTTCTTTTTATTATTCTTGTATAAACTTGCTTTATGTGTTTTTATCATTGTATGATTGTATTGTTGCAACCTGTCCCACGGCCTTATGGTGAAGGGGAAGGTAAGAAATGTTATAAATAAATCCATGCCCACCACCATATTATCCTGCATTCCCAAAGCCCTTTACGCTCCTGTCATTATAGGGTGGGATTCAGATATGCCCTAACCCAGACAACTGCCCAGTTCCTGTAAGAAACATAAAGTGTTACGTCCATTCAGTAACCTCTGGATTATTTGTAGATAGGAAGAAACTAAAAACGCATCAGGTCACTGACAAAAGACATTGGGTTAAAAAAAATTAAAGGAGGGTTGAGCAGGTAGGATTGGGACTGAAAGCTGGTACTCTTCCGGCTAGCAAGGATAAAGATTATATTCTGAAGTTAGATGTAGCCTATCTAGTGAGACTATCATCCACTGAACAGCTTGTGTGCTGTCATGCTATTGCTTCCTTTAAAAGACTGTAATTTTAATGAAATCTTAGCATTTCACTAAACAAGAGGAAACCAATGGGTTCAGAGCTCCTGAGGAACTGAGGAAGTATCTTGGCCCACACCAGTTTGACCATCTGGTACCAATGGGAATGATTAACCTTCACTTCCTCTGTTTTCTCTGAGCTTACCTGAGTCCTGGCAGAACTTCCATTTCTTGTCAGCTTCATAGTTGCTTGTGGTGGCACACCAGAGATTCCCATCACTCCGCCCATCTGCAGTGCAGCTGAGGTAAAACTTGCCCTTGTAGGTGAATGGGAAGACACAAGGCGGGCTTTCCACACTCTCATCAGGCCCTGGTTTTTGAACAGATAGAAGGAAGAAATGTTCTTAAAGAATGGAACACTTTCACACATACCTTCATTATTCTATTTGCTTGTTCTCCAAGACTTGCTAATTCCATCTCATTTTCCCAATCAGCTTAGCCAATGGTGAGGGATGATGGGAAGTTGAAGAAGACTGGGGTAGACATGGAGGAGAAGCAGTTTATTATGCAGTTCTCACATTGTATGGGCAATCTATCCAGAAAATAAATTGTATTGAGGAGTTAGTGATCTAACATAGTTGCCTTTCCTGCCTCCGTTCCTTCCCCTTCTTATCTCTTGTTAGCTCTTTGATGGCTGAGAAGTGGGATCATCTTTAGAGTGGTCCTGGTTGTGGGCAAGCCCCCAGCCCGGTTCCTCCCCCCACCCTGGCATGGGCAGCAGTAATGCTTTCATGCCACGGTGGCATCACAATCACCCCAAACCTATTGGCCAATCATTTTTGAGCAGGGGGATTGTGAGGAGTTTAAAAGCGGCAGCGCGACGTGGCTATGCACCTGATTCACACTGCCAAACACCCGCACACCCGCCCTGTAATTTATGTGTTCTCTGGCCTTGCTATGGACATTGGTTGGTCGCCTGTCTTGGGACAGGGGACAGGTAGGAATTTTTCCATTTGGCAAATTGGCATGGGCCACTTGGTTTGTGCCTACCTCTTAGCAATCGTCACAACATTGTAAGGCTTGGCGGTTAGGCATTGGCTCATTGAATTGTGGGGGAGGGGAGGTCAGTCATCACCTGCCCCTCCATTGACCAAGGGTATTCCATTAAAGGAAGCCAGGGCCTGGTTCCTGTCCAAAGTCTGCTTGAAGGGCTAGGGCCATGCCAGCCCTCTGGGAACACCGAGGAAAGCTATAGGCGGGTTCCCCCGATGTGGCTTCCTATTGGAGTGGCTTACCCTTATTGACTACCTGCAAAGCGGGCAGGAGTCCGATATAGTCTATGCCAATACCGTTCACATTTCTGTAATTCAATAAAGTTGTGGCCTATAATTTTGCCAGTAACCTTAAACTAAATATTCTGTGTCCGTGTGAATTTATTTTAACAAGGGGCTGGTCTGGGGGCCTTGCCACGCAACAGCCTTTAATGCCCTAATCTGTGGAAGGAAGTGATAGTGCTGGGTACCTTCACCTTCTTTGGTGTTAGAAATTGTTTGGAGAATGTGAGGCCTTGGGAGAGGTGGCGAATGAATAATCTGCATGTAGCCAGGCGAGCAAGCCACACAGGCTAAAGGGCTAGCTATTAATCAGATGGTGTTGAGCAGAGTCTAAGAAACTCATGCATGGACTGATGGCCTAAGGCTACCTGAGGGAGTCACTTTGCCACTTCTTGAGGACTTCCAAGTGTCAGATTGAGGTGCTTGCTTGGTATGTACAGTGGTACCTCAGTCCCCAAATAGCCCTGTTAACAAACAATTCGGGATACGAACTCTGCAAAACTGGAAGTAGGTGTTCCAGTTAGCGAACTTTGCCTCGGAAGCCAAATGGAAGCCGAATGGTGGAAGGGCACCGGTGGCGGGAGGCCTCAGTAGGGAAAGCATGCCTTGGTTTAAGAATGCTTTGGTTTAAGAACGGACTTCTGGAACGGATTAAGTTCGTAAACCGAGGTACCACTGTATAGATTACTTGCTGTTTAGAATAAAATCTTTAATCTTCTCACTCACTTGTGTTTTGTATTACTTCTGGATCTCATTTAAAAGAACCACCTTGCATTTGGCAAGACATAAATTTATAACGTCCCTTTTCCATCCAAATCTGGAAGCTCCAAGTGAATGGAAATGTTATAATGCATGTAATGAACAATGAAGCAAAACATTGTATGAAATTACAAAAAAGAAAAGAAAAGAAAGCAACGCATTGCACTAATCAAACTACAACATCACATAAATGTCACATGATAATGCCTAACTATATCACCAAAAGGACACAAAAACGCAAATGATTGCCAAAACTACGTGACACAGCCAGGGCTAGCCCACCCAAGAGCCAGTGATAGCAGAACCTGACTACTCCAGAAAGGAAAAAGGCTCATAGTTCAGTGGTAGGCCAACTGCTTTGCATGCAGATGACTCCAGAATGAACCTCTAGCAACTGCAAGCAAGGTTGCCTGCCTGAAACCCTGAAGAGCTGCTGCCAAGTGATATAGAAAACACTGAGCTAGTATTTCAAATGGTCTTACTCAATATATGTAGAAGCTTCCTATGTTGTGTTGTTCTCTTCCTGTTAAATTACAGAACATCCATTAGTTTTAGGCTAATTCTATACACCTCTATGACATCTGTCCTTCTTTGTCTCCAGAGTGCTCTCTTCCTTAAACCTCCGCAGTTCCTTGCTTTTGCATGATCAGACAAAGAGGAACACCCTTCTCCTAAACCAGGCATGGCCAAACTTGGGCCCTCCAGGTGTTTTGGGACTACAGTTCCCATCATCCCTGACCATTGGTGCTGTTAGCGAGGGATGATGGGAGTTGTAGTCTCAAAATAGCTGGAGGGCCAAGTTTGGCCATGCCTGTCCTAAACCAACACAAACACCTTTTGCTGTTCTCTTTCTACCTGTCACATTGCAGTACATCCATTTCTTATCCACATCATAGTTGCTCGTGGTGCCACACCAGAGTTTCCCATCACTCATGCCTTCTGAAGTGCATGTGCTGTAGGATAGGCCCTTGTAGATGAAAGGGAAGACACACGTTGGACTCTCTACCTCTGGATCTGGCCCTGGATGTTAACATAAAAAGAAGTGGGTTCAAACATTTGTGGAGCACCCAAGAAAATATCTCATGTCAGATTACAGATAGAGAAGATATAACATCCACAGACACCAAGAGCTGCAAGCAGAATCCAGGAAAAAGTGGAATGTTGCTTCTTAAGTAACACTAGGGATGCAAGAAGGTGCTATTCATTGCATGCAGCACTGTTTCCATTCTGCTTCAGTTCATCTTCCACCAAAAAGTACATTATGTTATTGTTCACTGTGGCAAAATTGTGTAATTTACATAAATTATATAATGAATGATGCAGATTATGTTGTATTTACATTATCCCATTCCATTCATTTCAATGCAAATGGAGGGAAATGTCATAAAGTATCATTTGCAGTCTACATATGCCCTTCTCCTCTTACCTGTGTCATTACAGTACATCCACTTCTTATCTAAATCATAGTTGCTGGTGGTAGCACACCAGCATTTCCCATCACTCATGCCATCAGTGGTACATGCACTGTAGGATTTGCCATTATAAATGAATGGAAATACACAGGAAGGACCCTCTCCATTTGAGTCTGGCCCTGAATTTGAAAGAAAAAGAAAATGGGTGTAAGCAGGGCTTTTTCAGCTGGAACTCACTGGAACTCAGTTCCATCAACTCTCAGGTGGGTACCATTGCCATTATAAGAAAACAAAGGGGGCTTCCTGGTGAGTTCCAGCACCTCTTTTTCTAGAAAAATAGCACTGGGGTCAAGGATTTGTGGACCTCTCAAAGCAGAAGCAGTTATCATCTTAGGTTACTTATAGGAAGATTTTCTATCAGCACACAACCTTCACACTTTCACTCCAGAGTGGAATACATACAATCTGAGATGTACTCGCCTCTGTTCTAAGCAAGGAACAGGACAATGATTTGTTTGATGGTCATCCATGATGAGCTGAAGCTCTTACATCCATGAGCAGAGAAAAAAGTTGCTCTAGGGCATTTCTTTTCAGCTTCATAGTTGCTTGTGGTGGCACACCAGAGTCTCCCATCACTCCGCCTATCTGCAGGAGAACACCCTTCTCCTAAACCAGGGGTCTGCAACCCACGGCTCCGGAGCCACATGTGGCTCTTTTACATCTTTGCTGCGGCTCCGGGGCAGATACTAGCGAGGGGAGGAGGCGCATTGTGCGCCCTGACACTACTGTGGCGGACGCTGTACTGGCTGGATGTCGCAGGGGGCGTGCTGTAGTACACACCGTCTCTGACACATTGCTGTAGTCGCGGCTCGGAATAATTTTTTAAATGTCGCGATGTCTTGCGGTGAGGAAACGGTACAAGTGGTCTTTTTTGTCAAAGGTTGCAGACACCCATTTTTTGCTGTTCTCTTCCTACCCTCGCTGACATTGCAATACACCCATTCTTATCCACATCATAGTGCTTGGGTGGCCACACCAAAGATTCCATTCACTCATGGCCTGCTGAAGTGCTGTGCTGTAGGATAGGCCCTTGTAAATGAAGGGGAAACACACGTTGGGACTCTCTCTGCCCTTTGAAATCTGGCCCTGGATTAACTATAAAAAGAAAGTGGAGTTTAACCATCTGTAGAGCACCCAAGAAAATAGCTTGTGTCAGATTATAGATAGAGAAGATATAACATCCACAGATACCCAGAGCTGCAAGCAGCATCCAGGAAAACGTGGAATGTTGCTTCTCAAGCAACAAAGAGGAACACCCTTCTCCTAAACCAACCCAAACACTTTTGCTGTCCTCTTCCTACCTGTGACATTGCAGTACATCCATTTCTTATCCGTGTCATAGTTGCTGGTGGTGGCACACCAGTGTTTCCCATCACTCATGCCCTCTGTAGTACATGTGCTATAGGAGTTGCCCTTGTAGATGAAAGGGAAGGTGCAAGATGGACTCTCTACCTTCACATCTGGACCTAGGTTTTAAAATTAGAAATAAGGTGGATGGAGGTATATGTGGGCAATCCATATCATAACTGATGCCACAGAGAGAGGAAATGATATCAGCCAATTTAGTATACTAAAAACCTCTTCATGTTTTCTCCACATGATGTAGTCTTCTACAGGTATAATGAAAAGTGAGGCCATGCCCCCAATATCATACCTCCTGCTCGTTCTTCTGCCTCAACACCCACATGGATGTCTAGAAAGAGTTGTAGTTGTTGTTCCCAGGTAGGTGCTCCACACAATTGTATGGGGCAGCTATACATAAGCAAGACTGTGGGCCAGATGTGGTCCTCCAAACCTCTCTGTCTGACCCTTGAAACTTTCCCCAGGACATACCCTCTTTCACCCAAGCCACACCCCTTGAGTATTTTTACCTGGAATATGTACTTCAACTCTGATAATGCCTCTCACTTGGCTGGATGGAGGATAGAGAAGGGTACATGAACATGTGCAAAAACTAGCCTATCTTACAATAGAGAAAATTTACATTCATTGCTCTACCCACTTTTGCTTCTGGTTTCGTTCACCACTGGAAGGTAGCCCAGAAAGTAACGAGGAACTCTGTCTGAAAAGGATTCTCCATCCCTGCCAAGGGGGTGGTCCAGAAAAGGCACAACCTCACAGATATGGCCAGCAGCTCAACCTGATCTACCTGTAGGAGCCCTACACACATGTTGTTGTTTTTAATGTGACTTTTGAATCTACAAAATAAAATAAATAGATATGGCCCCTGCTTGGCTTGTTTCTTCCTCCAGCCTTTAGCTTCTCTTACCTGGCTCTTCCGGACATAACTTCAGCTTCTTGTCTGTATCATAGTCGCCTGTGGTGGCACACCATGGCTTCTTATCTCTCCGCCCATCTGTGGTGCAGCTGTAGTAAAACTGTCTCTTAAAGATGAATGGGAAGATGCAAGGTGGACTTTCCGCAACCTCGTCAGGGCCTGATTTTTTTACCATGCAAAAGAAATATACAGTATGTCAGGGAGGGATTGGAGTTAATCAGAGATATCCTTGTGCTAGAGAAACCATCAGCCTCAACTTTACATCACTCTCAGAATCAGGACAATATATTTCAAGATATATAAAAGCAGTCCTTTTCACATAAGGAAAATAAAGAAGAGCCCTGTTGGATCAGGCCAAAAGCCCAACAAGATCCTGTTTAAACAGTGGCCTGGTATTCAGGGGTGTGGCAGGGTGGGTGGAGAATGAATTAACTTTGGTGAGCACAACACACTGGTTAAACCAGGCATATGAACTGCCTCTGACAGTAGTTGTATTGCTAGGAATGGTTGGACAGAAGAAGAAAAATCATTCTAATTGGCCTGTTTGGATTTCCATACATTCATGGCCACATATTATGGCCATATTAGAGCCTCACCTCTCACATCTCATATGTGAAAAAGGAAGTGAATGGCAGAAATTGGGAAAATTCAGTATTTCTCACCTATCCACCACTTTTCTTGTTGAAATTGGGCATGCCCTTTCTACAGGATTGAAATAGTTCTCTGTTTGAACACAGGGGGACTCTGCCATAAACATCCAGTTTGGCTTGCACTTTTGGAAAAAGGATTCTGTGGGATGTGCCGCCTTCTTACAAGCATTTCACAGAAAGCTGCCTCCATCTTGTTCTGTATTGTGTAATCTACCTGGCATCCCATCTCTCACCACTAAACTTTTTCCTGCCCCTCCCATCCTTCCTACCTGAAGGCTCGCAGTATGTCCACTGCAGGTCCGCATTATAGTCTGCTGTGAGAGAGCACCAGGGCTTCTTCTGGGACATTCCATGTGTTGTGCAGGACTCATAGAGCTTGCCGTTGTACATGAAAGGAAAGGCACAAAGGTCCTTGGGCTCAGCAGCTGCATCTGAGCAGGAATGGGGAGGCAAAGTTCACAAGACCAAAAGAGAAGATCATTATGCATGCTTGTAGTCCCGTATCCCAGCATGGATTGCACTGTGCGCATCATGAATTTTCTGCCACGGAATCAAACTATGATTTGATGTGCTGTTAGAAACCTTCCTATAGACTGGGGCATTGAGTTGTGTGCATTGTCAAAGGGAAAGGGTTGTCAAGGTGAAAGGCAAGCTACGAACAAAGTCATGTACAGGTCAGAATTTGATAGCCGTCATGATACTGTTCCTGAGTTGGATGTGGGAACAACCAGGGCATTTGAGTCTGCTGCAGGCTGTGTGGCACAGATTAGAACCTTTCTGTCCATTTGCTTCCCTGGTGGCTCTGCAGGGTGATGGTAAAGATTCACCTGTTAATTAACGTATACGAGGGCATAGGGAAGCCACTGTGCAAGTCAAACCCTTTGCCAGTTTCAATACCTGTGTTGTCTGGCTATATGCCCCAGTGCTTGGATGCTGATTGTCAGTTCACACATGTGTAAAAATAACTTTTTGTGTAGTTGTGTGCAGAAGAAGTGATGTACTTATTCTCTTCTCACTCAGTTGTTTTATTTATTATTATTATTATTAGTAGTAGTAGTAGTAGTAGTAGTAGTAGTATTAAACATATGCCCTGCCCTTCCTTCAAAAGGAGCCCAGTGTACTTTTCATACCCATTTGGATCCCTTCCACCAAACCCAACACAAACATATATGCTGCTTTCCTCCTACCTGTGACAGTACAGTACACCCATTTCTTATCAACGTCATAATTACTGGTGCTTGCACACCACAATTTCCCATCACTCATGCCTTCATTAGTGCATGTGCTGTAGGACTTGCCCTTGTAGATAAAGGGGAAGACACATAATGGGTTTTCCGAAGCTGGAGCTGGCCCTGGATTTTAAAATAAAAAGAAGGCAAATGTGAGGATTTGTAGACAAACCTAGAGTAGGAACATGTGAAACTGTGTTGTGCTGAATTGGACCAAGGGGTGGAAGAGACATTTAATTTTGCTTGCATTTTAATAAGTAATCTGCACTTCTCAAAACAATACGAGAACCGAAACAAATCTCTTTTTCAAAATTCGCACTTCCCTGAATTTTGTAATACAGTCCTCCAACCAATGTGTATATCAAACCAAATATATTAGTGAAAATTGCATCCAAGCATGCATTAAATTATGTGGAATTGCTTTCAAAAAATATGCTATTTACTAAAAAATTGCTTCAGAAGATAAATTTGGTCAAAATGCTGATGAATTTTCATGAATATATCTCAAATTCACAATGGCAACAGTGTTAAGAATTATTTAAAATATAGGTCAGTTAAGACAAATAAAAAACATCAGTATAAACTACAGCTAAATGGGGTTCTACCTTCTTAATTAGCTCCTCAAGAAAATGGGGTGAAACGAAGATGGAATGTTAAAAGAACAATTTTTCATTCTGAGATTCCTCCCCTCCATATTTTTGGCATTCTCCAGGTGCCATTTTCTTTCTCCTAGAGTGCCCCTGGAGCATCAAAAGCAATGTCTTCAACCATAAAAACAGTGTCATGCAAAAATTCCTAGCCTAGGCCAAGTCTTCCTAGGGCCAAATTAGGTATGAAGTAGTACTTCAACACAAGACTCCTACAATCACATAGAAAGGAGAGGTGGGGGGGTGACTGACAGAAGGATGCACAGTTTGGAGCACACAGCCCTCCCCATAACTTCTCTCCCTGAGTGCTTCTCTCCTCCACTGCACTTTGATGCTGTAATTGTCCTCAGCTGGCGGATGGAGGAAGCTTGCAGAAAGAGGTTGAGGGAACTAAGAGGTAGGCTTGAGTGGCGAGGTTCAGAAACTCTGATCCTGCCCACCCCTTTTGGAAATCTGCCCTTTCTATATGATTGGAGCAGTCCTGTGGTGAAACAGACCTAACTGTTGTCATCACCTCTAGCTGGATCACAGAAAAGTGTTCCTGGTGGGATCCTGCCTCTTCCCTACCAAGCTTACAGCTTTCAAAAGAATGTAAGGAAAGCCTGCTGGATCACACCAACGGCCCATCTGGTTCGGCATCCTGTTTTCCCAGTGGCCAACCAGATGCCCGGGGGAAACCCATAACCCAGACCCCAGCCCAACAGCATTTTCCCCTCCTATGGCTTCCAGCAATTGGGATTCAGTAGCAGTACTGCCTCCACCCATAGAGGCAGAGAGTAGCCATCGTGGTTAGTAGTCATTTCTCTTACCTGAGGGCTCACAGTAAGTCCACTTCAAGTCAATGTCATAGTTGTTGGTAAGGGAGCACCAGGGCTTTTTGTTAGAAATCCCATCTGTTGTGCATGCCGAGTAGGATGTACTGTTGTAGGTGAAAGGAAAGACACACGGGCCCTTGGGATTGGCATCTAGTCCTGAGGAGGGGAGACAAAGACAGTGTTCCCCCTACCTTTAGGGAAATGTTGGTACAAGAAGCATAAATACAAGTGTACTCCAGTGGATAGTGTGTTCAACTTGGATTCCTGGGTAAAACACTCAACTCAGCCTATTCTCAAGAGCATAAAGTAGGGGTGGGAAACTGATGGCCCTCTAGATGTTGCTGGACTACAACTCCCATCTTTCCTTGACCATTAAGTCATGTTCTCTGGGACTGATAGGAGTTGGAGTCCAACAACAATAACAGAATCATAGGTCAACCACCCCTGCCATCGACTGTTCTGCACATATCTGCTTCCTTTTCCCAGAATGCATGGCACTATAAGGGATTCTTTTTCTCCCAAACTACAATTTGGCAAGTCATCACACACACACACACACACACACACACACACTTTTTAGAACTCACCTATTCTTCTGATTGTATATTGTTCTAACCAGAGCTTTTTTCTGGGGGGACGCATACCCCTAAACATTTTGTGAATCTAAGTTTGGCCTCATTGAGGGGCAGTATTTCAATATGAGTAGGGAAATGAGAGTAGCCCTAAACATATTTTTTTTTAGAAAAAAAAGAACTGGTTCT